TTCCTTACAGGAAAATGATCACTTTTGGAAAGGTTGTACTAGCAAGTTGAGCTCATGTAAATGTATCTTTTGAATAGCTCTTTGAATGAAACCCTAATGTGTATTGGGCTCGTTTTCTTTTGATTGGCAAACCAAACATGTATATTCATGATGAATGATTTTTGTGGCATGCCATTTGGTTGTAAATGTTGAATTTCAGTGTATGTATATGTTGGATTAATGTATGGTTGAACTCCGGATTCTGACGTGTCCGGCATTGTTCATCGTCGGCGCTTTTTTTCATTTTTTTTTCTATTTTATTTTATTTTGTGATTTTGACTTGTTTGCACGCTTGGGTATGTTCCGGAACGTATTAGATCGACGTACACTGACCCGTTAGTCCTGGCTAGAGCTGGGCAGGCAGTCCGCTAACCTCTCTGGTTCGCCTTAGGGGAAGGTGGGGCTGTCACATCTTGACTAGCCAATTTGCTTAAATATCATCAAAGGAGTCGCCAGGGGCTTGGCATACCTTTATAAAGAGCTTCCCGAAGTGCCTCTACCACATGGACACTTGAAATCATCAAATGTTCTTCTAGGCCAAAAATTTGAACCAGTCCTTGCAAACTAAGCTCTAGCTTTATTGATGAATAAAGAAAATGCTCAAAACTCATGGTGGCCTACAAATCACCCGAATTCATGCAGCATGATCAAGTTACTAGAAAGATAGACGTATGAAGCCTTGGTATTTTGATACTTGAGTTGCTGACCGGAAGATTTCCAACTAACTACTTGTGACAAGGTAAGGGCGCTAATAAAGATTTGGCAACATGGGTTAATTCTGTTGTGAGAGAAGAATGGACAAGTGAGGTATTTGACAACAACATGTATGGGACAAAATATGGAGAGGGCCGAATGCTTAAACTCTTGAAAATTGGAATGTGTTGTTGTGAATGGAACATGGAGAGAAGGTGGGATTTGAGTGTGGTTGTTGAGAAGATTGAAGAGTTGAAAGCAAGGGATAGTGATAAGCAAGACTACCCTTCTTATAGGAGTGAAGGAGACATGTACACTTCCAAGGGAATGACTAGTAATGACTTTTCTTTTTCTACGGTTGAGAAAAGTTTGCGTGCGTGAAATGAAGAAGTGAAGAAATTTGAGTTATATAATGAGTCACTTATTGTGGTTAAGATGTTGAATCAGTCATTCCATACTATCATGTTGGATTACCCTAGTAGCATTACTTTTTTCATCCCAATTTATAATGTAAACAGTTCTCATTTGTCTACCTTAGGAGATATCATTCCTTGGATCTATTAGCATAGACAAGATTATTGGTTTCAATGAGTTCTTTTACTTGTGTATATAATCTCATCACAAGTTCATTATAGTATGGACCCATAAAATGTAACCATTGATTTTACTGAAGTTGCTAAAAAAACAAACTAACGAATTGAGTGTCTTCACATGAGTTTTTGTTTTTAATAGCGGTTTTTCTTGGTTAACTAGAAACTTTAAAACAATTTGCCAGAGAAAGTCACTTTTTAGTGCAAAGTTATCTTACTTACTAAAAAACTTCTAAAGACAAACATGCTATTTCATTCAAAAAACTATTCAGGCTTGATATGTATCTTCCTCCAAACTCTTTTCTATTACCTTTATACACTGATATTCTTAACAAGCTATCTCCTTAAACTACAACCTCAATCTCCACCCCAAGAAACATTCTTAGACGATTTTGAATTTTAAGGGTGTTGATAATATTAAAAAGGTAAAATTATTGACAAAATCAAATAAATATTAAGAATTATAACTATTTAGATGTATGTAAATAAATAGGTGCTAGTATAATCAACCAAAGTTTCATATGAGAAATATTAATACTAACAATTTCATTAAGTATTTTGACAAAATGTTTTTTTGGAAAAGAGTTGGACTCTTGAAGATTTTGTGGTGTATGGTATGGAAACGATGCATGTTCAAGTGAAGAGTTGTTCAATTAAGCCAAGATGATAGGTGAATTCTTGTATGCTGTAGACATTCAACTTTAATTGATAGTAATAGAACTTTTTAGAACATCCTTTATGTCTAGGTCAATGTGATAGCCCCACCTTCCATTAGGGTGTACCCCAAGAATTAGCTGTGACGACTTGAAAATTTGCTTATACTTTCTTGTAATTCCCTCTTATTTTGAATAAATTATTTTTTAATTCCTTTACTATTCATTTTATTCCCTCAATAGTTGTAATATATAATAGAATCGAGAGTTTTACTTTTACTTTTACTTTTATAGTTAGAACAAATTAGGGTTTTTGAGCATTTTGGTAGTATGATCACTTGGTGAGGTGTGTGTATTAAATTTGGTGGATAAGAATGAGTATTAAGTAAGAGGAAGTGTATGATTAGAAGTGCTAATAATAAATTAGTGAATCATAAGTTAAAACACAAGTACGTGAAAGTTAAGGAAAATAGGCTTGAACCGACGTGCACCGTTTGCTACCGATCGAATCCACCATTTGATCACTACTTTCTTAATTTTCGCTAAAAATGTATTTAGTTAGATAAATGTAATAGTTAGGTTATTATTATTTTAATTCCCCCCTTATATTGTAATTAAGGCCCCAACTGTAATAGTTAAGTTTTTATTTGCATTTATCTGCCTATGTGCTTGCATGCTTGTGTTTACGTGTTTATTCGCTTTAATTAGGGTTTTGCATTTAGAAATCATGTATATGTGCTATGTGATCTATGTGTTCAATATGCTTACTTGCTTTAATTATGTCGTTGTATATGATTTATTTAGTGATAATAAACGTATGACGTTACTATACTAGTTCAACGCTAGTTGTGGCCATTCTCCCCGATTTCTCACTAGTCCAACGCTAGTGAAGACTTGTAGAAATGAGCTAATCCAATGCTAGACCCTTTAGACCGTCCACATGCTAGAACCACATGCTTGCGTGACAATCACTACACTTAATGCATATTTTCTACTTTTTAGGATCTTTACCATCTTGCATGATATTTCCTCTATATGTATATCCCTTATTCTTATGTGTGAAACATAACATTTAGATTTGCATTCCATTTAAGAAAATTAGAAATATGTTAGATCATTTGCTTGATTAGGTTAGGAGAGTACCCTTTAAATATGGGAAATGGACGAGTATGGCTTCTTAGCCTTAGCACGCTCGTATCTCTTTTATAAAAAGAAAAATTGAGTCACGAATCTTAGTCCACCGTACCCGTTATGTTGCATTCCTCTTTTTAGGTCACGTATATTTATATATTATATTTTTCTTTTCTTCGAGTCTCACTCTTTGCATATTCATGATTTTTTCTAAGAATCATTTTGGGCATCACAATTAATGCGATTTGCACCAATTAAATTTTGAAGAGATATTTCGACCCTCTCGATATCCATTAGGTATAGGTTTACATCCATATAATAACATCCAAATGTGATAAGTTTTATAGGTTAAATTAAGAAAATTTTTGACTAAATCAAGCAACTAGCATTGGTTAGATTGAAAGGATGCCTTAGATCAAATCTTTGCCTTCTCTTTCTTCAACCAAGACTCCCGAACCCTTTTTCTCTAATTTTCAAAGATCTAGAGTCATTTAAAAAGGATTTTACCTATTTTTTTATTAAAAACACATTTTTCGATGATTTGGTATACTTTAACTCAATAACAAGTGGCGACTCCTATTTTTTCATAAAAACCTTTTTAAACTATTATTTTGGGTCAAAATCGTCACACTTTTTAAGTCCCATTTTAGGTCTTTTTTCTTTGTTTATTCTCTAAAAATTAAAAACTCATTTTCACTCAAAATTAATTAAAAATTCATTTTATAATTCGTAATTTTATTTTTCAAAAAAAAATGGTGCGCGACACAAATATACATTCACTACCTTACAGATTACAAAACTATTCCAGATATTCCTCTATCCCTCAACAATTTGAACTTGAATACAATTTCTTCCTTTGATAATTATCATTTCCTCTTGTTTCTATTGTATTAGGCATGAATCTCGACATCTTACATGCCAAAATTAAAAATTTAAAGTGTTTTTCTTTGTTCTCTTCTGTATTTAGCACTTTAAATTTTCAAATGTTTCATATATGCCCTAAACTTTACAATAGTAAAGTTTATCACAACTCTTTCTTCTCGGTATAATTTTCCCTATAAGAATTAAATTTTCATACTTCTTATACATTTCATGAAATTTCTTTAACTTCTCCAATTATAAATTTATTATTGTAATTATTTTCACTATTGTTATGATGATAATTTTCTTTCAACACTTCATTCCTTTAGTCTCTAGTTTATAAAATTTTAATGCAATTCTAATATGAAATTTTTTTAAACAATATTCTTCCAAACTTTTCTACAAAATTCTTTAACTTATCTTTGTATATGAAAAATTGTTATAGTAATATGATTCTTTTTATGATCTTATAAATTCTCCATTCATTTGCTTGTAAAACTAGTTCACTATAGATATTTTGTGACCAACCTCAATCAATAATGATAAAATTCAAGATATTAGTTACATAATACTATCATGACATCTTCATAATAGGATCCTTTTTCTTTTCTTGTCTTATGGAGGTTCAAATGCTCATTAAATTGACAAGGATCATTTTCATTATCTAGTAGTAACACATTGGTCGTAGGTTAGGAAGTTTTAACAATATTTTTTACTAATTTCAGTTGTCTTTCACAAGAATCTCCAATCATTTCAAAACAATTGTTTAGCTAAGAAATAATTTTGTAATACTAATATTATACTACACTATAATATGACATGCTGGCACTATTAATACTATACTTGACATTATGTTTTTAAAATTTTTTAGTATTTTCCAACACTACTAGTATGATTTGTTGACAACACTGATACTCTATTGGATAGTACTATAATTTATTTTCATAATACTTCTTCTAGCATTTGATAATACATATCCTATAACTTGTTCATCTTTTTTTTTTTAAGAAATATTATTTTTTATTTTTATATTACTTCTTTTAGTATTTTACAGTGCTAATACAAGCACATTAGCAATATTTTTACCATAATAGATTGTACTTATAAACAGTACTATTTTTTCATAGTTCTTTTAATAGTTGACAGTACTAATACTATAGTTTATTGACAATATAAATACTATATTAGTTTTTTTTTGTAATGGAAGCATTTAATGTATTTTATATAATTTTTTTTATAAGAAATAACTTTGTATCACACATCCTGCCCCATCTCTAAATAACCCCTACCGCTGGCATCTAAAAAAATGTGGAAACCCAGACGTATCTAAAGAAATATCTCCCCTCATCAATCGAGGCAACGCATTATAGGTCTCATAAATTGCAGTACACCTAGTCTCCACGCCAACATTAGACAATCTGTCCGCCGACTTGTTTACCTCTCGGAAGCAATGAGACACGGTGTCAAAATACCGTCTATATTGCTGTAAAACCAATAACTCCCTCTGCAACTGCCACGGGCACTGAACCTTCCCTTGAGTAATACGGACCAACACCAGTGAATCAGATTCCAAGTGCAACCTAACAAATCCCCGGGACACACCTAACTACACACCAAAAAGGTGAGCCTTCATCTCCGCCTGAAGGCTAGTAGCCTCCCCAAACCAACATGAGAAGCCAAGTAGGAACCTCCCATCATAATCCCTGAACAATCCCCTACCGCCACTCCTCCCCGGATTACCCTTGAAAAACCATAGCATTCAATTTCACCACCGACTGATGCGGACCTTTCAAACAAACCTCCCATATGATAATCTTGCTCCGCAACCTAGCTATTATATCAAAAAAAAAACAATCCGTGAGTTATCAAGCAGTGATATCTCCTGAAACCGAAGATAGAACCATTCCCTCGGCTCCAAGAAAATCCGATCACAAACATACATTACCGAGTCTAGCTTACCATCGAATATCCACAAATTTCGCATCTTCCATAAATTCCAGCAGATTAAGGATGGCAACGTGCGGAGAATAAAATCAAGGTAATTATTAAGAGTAGGTTTAACCCACCAACTCATCACCTTATGTCTAACCGTGAAAGCCGCACTAAACCCACCAATAAGACCCTCAAAGCAACCCCAAACCTGCTTAGCCACCTCCCCCATACAGAAGACGTGGTTAATAGTTTCTGGGGACGGTTCAAACTACAACAAAAGCACCTAGAGGGGTCCAGAATCCCAAACCTGTGTAACACATCCATCAATGGCAATCTACCATACAGTAACCTTAACATAAAGAAGGAAATTTTTGAGGGCAAAACCCGATGCCACAAAGAAGCAAATAGGCGGGAAACAGTACCTCCTTTGCGCACTATCTGATATGCCGACAAGATAGTAAACACACCTGAATTGGTGGGGGCCCAAATCATGTCATCCGCTTGTGCCATGGTAGGGGGAGCCACTCCCATCACCTACTATACCCAACCCGCCGGTAGCACCCTATTTAAGCACTGCAGATCCCACCTACCTTCTATGACAAAGTCTGCAACCGAGCACTTCTGAAAGGATTCCACCTGCCTACATAGTGGCCCGTCTCCATCCAATTGTCATGCCAAAAGCTAGTAGATCCGCTACCCAGTGACCATCATATATGCTTCTCTGCTATCACTTGAGCATTCATCATCCTCTTCCAAGTGTGTGACTGCCCTGAGGAGAAATTTGAATAACACGGATGCATATCTGGGCAATACTTCAAGTGCATGAAGTCAGCCCATAATGATCGTCGCTGCCTAAAATTTGACCATAATTTCAACGAAAAGGCATCAAATACATTCTGCAAAGACCGAACACCCACACCTCCCTCCTCAATAGGCTTACATAATTGAATCCATTTAATCCAATGAAACCGTGGACCAAAATCAGAAGACCATAAAAAATTGGCTAAAATTTGCTCCAATTTGTCAAATATCCCTCTCGGATGATTGGAGACAGGAAAAATGTAGATCGGCATGGGTGCCAACACACTTCGTATCATCACCAACTTCCCATCTACCGACAACAGTCGCTCCTTCCATGATAAGACCCTACTTGCCAATGAAGTACAAATCGCAGCAAAATAGCTCTTTTTTCATCTACCCGAGTATAGTGGACACCCTAAATACGTCATCGGGAAGGCCTGGGAACGAAACCCCGTGACCTGTGCCACAAATCGCTTCCTCAAATCCGACAATGTAGCATAGGTTAGGAAACCACTTTTATGATGGTTCACCTTCTGTCCCAATATCAACGTATAGTCCTCCAACACCTTGATAAGTAGTTGAAGCGATCTTTTCATGGCACTCGAGAAGATAATGATATCATCTGCATAAACTAGGTGCGTGTCAATCGGGCAACCCTACGGGACTCGAAAAGGCACAAACCCCTGCCGCCCACTCAAGGAATTCAGATGATGGTAAAGCATCTCAGCACACAAAACAAAAAGGCCTGGTGAAATCGGATCCCCTTGACGAATCCCACAACTAGACTTAAATAAACCTCGGGGCGACCCATTGACAATAACTGAGAACCACACATTCAAGATCAGTCTCCAAACCATATCAATCCAAGCTTCACAAAATCCAAACCATCTCAGCACCTGAATCAAGAATAGCCATGAAACCCTATCATAGGCCTTAGCCATGTCGAGTTTTAAGACAACATTACCCCCTCTACCAGCCTTCCTAATATCAGCTATACACTCCTGAACTAACAGAACATTATCAAAAATCTGCCTACCCTTCACAGAACTGCTTTGCTGGGGTGATATGATGCCAGACAACATCTTGGCTAATCTAATCGCTAAAATTTTAGAGATCACTTTATTGAGAAAATTGCATAGGCTAATCGGTCTGAATTAACTAAAATCTTGAGGGGAACTAACCTTGGAAATAAGAGCTACCCATGTTGCTGTGATACTCCTGGGCAATTCCTGCCCACAAAAGAAGCTCACCACTGTCTCACATATGTCCCCCGTCACCACCTCTCATGCAAAGGTAAAAAACATCCCAGTGAAGCCATCTGGTCCCACTGCACTCTCCCCATCCATCCCAAACACCACTTCTCTTACCTCCTCCATCTCCAGAACCTTCACTAACTCTGCATTCTGTGTGTGAGAAACCATGTGAGTGAGCACGTTCAGTGTATCCCAGGAACCTGACGAAGTCTCCGCCGAGAATAAAGTTTTAAAATATTCAACCGCCTTCGCTGCAATCCGATCATCATCTACCATCCAATCCCCAGTTGCACCTTTGATCTGATGAATGACCGCCTTCGCCCTACGTTCCGCAACGACAGACTGAAAATATTTTAAATTTTTATCCCTCTCCTGAATCCAATTAATCCTCGCTTTTTGCCTCCAATATCCTTCCTCTACCATTAGAGAATTCCTCAGAACCGCCCGCGCTTCTTGAAGTGCAATTAAATTCGACTCCGAAGGATCATTATCAAAGAAACCCTCCAGCCTTAGCAACTCCCCCTCTGCCTTCCTCACCCGCGTAAAAATATCTCCAAACACGTCCCTAGACCACAGTTGCACTTACCGTTTTACTTCCCACAATTTAGCAGTCAGTCTCTGCAAGGGAGGGCCCAAAAATGATCCACCCTAACATCGTCGAATAACATCCAATAACTCCAATTTAGACGTCCACACATTCAGGAATCGAAAGGATCTCGGCTTATTATTAAGTATAGACAGTGCCAACAATAGTAAGGGAGCGTGATCCGAGGGATCTCACCCCAAATGTTGCACTGCAAAATTATACTCTAAACCCAACGCATGCTGATTGTACAACATCCTGTCTAACCTCTTCTAGATATGCGCGCTTCCCCCTCTATTATTACACCATGTGAACTTTGCCCCCGAAAACCTAGCATCCTGGATTCTATCCGAAGCCATGAAACAGATAAAATCCAAACCCTCCCCCAGGCGAAAAGGTAAACCACGTCGCTTTTCCTCCTCACAGACAATGACATTAAAATCCCCAACCAGAAACCATGGTGTATTGCCCGGGTTATCGAGCAATAGAGCAGACCAAAGCGATCTTCTCTCTTGCTCATTACACTTTGCATACACTAACGAAAAGACCATGGGGCCAGATACCATTTGCGATTGTATTTTAAGCGATAAATGTTGACCCGACTCACCCAGGAGGGCACATACAAGGGAGTTTTGATAGAACACCCATATAGAACCCTCACTATTGGCAATGCATTTATCCATCCTCAACTTTAGTCGTATCCAGTGAATCTCTCCCACAGACAACTTAGGTTCACATATAGCAACTAATTGAACTGACGAATCAGCAATTAAACTTTTTAATCTACGAAAATTTGGGGCACGCGAGATACCCTGAATATTTCAAAATAAAAAATTAATCATCAGAGAGTGCAGCAAAAGAGTTATTGGCCAGTTTTGCTTTAGAGCGTAAAGAACGATCAGTAGGAGGTGGGGCACGCGTACCTCTACGCTTGGAAATCATCTTACCACCCTCATCTCCGTGCACCTTCTCCTAGACTTGTTGTATGATAGGATCCAAGTTAAAGATATCCACCACCAGAGATCCAATGTCCCGTGGCATAGCTCCAACTTCATCCCGTGGAGAAAAATTTCTAGCACTTAGTTCTGCTGCAACCACCTCCTCCTCCCTCACCGCTGCACCCAGCTCCTCTGCGCAAAGGTCATCACACTCCACCCCACCTATCTCAGAACTTGCGATGGACCTTGATGAGAGGTTTCCCGCTACCACTAGGATCACAACCTGCTCCTTCTCATGACTCTCATCAGCTTCACCATTTACCCCAGCATCCAGCTGCCCAGCAATATCCTCCCCCTTTGCATACAAAATAGGTTGAAAAGTGCCGTGGGCAGCACCCATCACCTGCACGTTATTACCCAGCAACGACAATCCCCCAGCAACAGCAACAGAGTCTGCCATTGCTGAATCTATCATCACGTCCTCCACCAGAACCACCTTCGAGCGCCGCACCTCTCCTGTCCTGTCTTCTTTCTCCTGTGCTGGGCTCCCTCTTTCGTCACAATCTGAAGCCTCTGCCACTACTCCACCCCTCCTACACAAAGAAGTAGTGTGCACGGTGGCACCCATTTCATGCTCATTCGATTCCAGCAATGCCACTCCCACTCCAGTGGTGCGGACAGGTGGTATTGGGCTTGCTTGAACAGCCACCTGTTTTGCTATCCTTTGTTGCACAGCTTGTGATTTCATTGACTTCTCACCCTCCATTTTGCCTGCTCGGAGCTCTGGTCGAAACATATGACAGCCCTCCACTCCATGCCCCTGCCGAAAGCAATGGGAGCAATATTGTGGGAGATTCTCCGGGATGAAACTCTGCTAGAACCCATCCTGCGCGCCATTACCAATCCAGATTCTAGATGGCCGAGGCTTTAGGAGGTCAACTTTGACACATACAAAAGCACAGCTTGGGCATGTCGCATTCGAAGTTGCCGCATCCACAAACAATGGAATCCCCCGAGGAGACAATCTGGAACAGAACCTCTTTATGGAAGTAGTGAACCGGCAGTTTAGGGAGTTGGAACCATACTGGAGCAACCGACGGTTCTTTGTCAACATGGAAAGCTGTCGACCACTTGAAAACCCTGATCGGAAAACCATGGACATACCAGATGCTACGAGCCCACAGTCTATGGAAGTCGACCTTATTGGCCGGCTTGATGAAGACATGTTTTGAATCCAGTAAACCCACGGAAACAGCCTCCCTCAAATTCAACGTAAGGAAGAACTTACGCACCTCGTCCATTTTTGGTTTGCCTCTGGAAAACTTGCCCACCAGAGCGTACTTGTAGGGAGTAGAAAGCCTATCAAGATCGTCTTATGAAAAGAGAATAGCCGGCTCCCCCTTGTGTGTGGAGGACGAAGCTTTCATAGAGAGGGTTGGGTGTGAGGAATAGGGAGAGAATAATGCGGAGAAGGACTTACGCTGGAACACCTGGCAAGGCGATGATTGCCTCCCAGCAGAGGGCTGGAGGACAGCCATGTCCACAGCCGCACCGTTGCATAAAAGAAGAGATTTTGACTGTGTTTTCATTGAGGCATATTAACAAACATAACCAAGGCAAAACTTAAGTTCTTACGGTTCATGAAGTTTGGACAGATATGAATTCCCAAATTTTACCAACAACCAGCAAGAATCTTCCAAATGACAATAAGTGAAGTGAAGGAGAAGAGAAGCAAGATGTTTGTGTTAAAAGTATGGTTGGAGGAAGGACATGTTTTCCGTTTGCTGTTTTGTTCCCTTAAGAGAACATAAAACAACTGATATTCCGGTCCTCGATTACCCACTATTGTTTGGCTACAATCTCCAATACTGATCTTGGAATACACGATTGTGACCCTTGATGAATATTGCACATGAATCCCATTAGTATTGGGGCTGTTTCCGACCAACTATTGAAGCACCGAAGATGGATGATTGCTACAATTGATAATCATCGATGAAAATATTCAAAACATTAATACTATAGTAGTTAGTACTATTTTTTACTTTTATAGTGCACCTTTTAGTATCTAATAGTACTAGTACTAATGACTTATTGACAGTAATAATGGTTTATTCAATAGTAATACAACTATATTAGACATTACAAATTACATAATATATCTTTTAATATTTAATGATCATAGTACCATAACTTATTGATACTTCCAATACTATAATTGATAGTTCTATTTTTTTTTAATCATCGTATGTCTTCTTTTAGTATATTGGTATGACTTATTGATAGTACTAATACTATATTAGACTATACTGCCTTTTATTTTCTTAATATTTCTTTTAGTATTTAATAATACTAATACTATAATTTACATATTAACTTATTCATATATTCTACATTGTGAAATTTTATAATAGTTTTATGAATTACTAATGAAATTCAACTTTTGTGAATTATTCATGATCATTAATATAACTATTGATGATGAAATTTTAAAATAATCTATATATAAGAGTAAAATTTGACAATACTAATATAATACTTTTTTAAGCTTTAATCAACATTAACATTTGGTCCTATTATGCTCATAAATTTGTTTTGTAAGAGTGCTTCGTGTTCATTTTTTGTCTTTTATAGTACATTGTTATTCTATATTATGATTTAATTCATATTGGCACAATTAATAACTCAAAACATAATTTTCTTGAATATTTTAGTAATTTACTAACGAAATATATCTTTTGTACTTACTTCATAATCATGTTTGCTATAAATTATGGTGAAATTTCAAATATTATCTACATAAGAAGTTGTTTTCACCATATTTGGTAGTACCATTAGCCAAAATTTTGGTTAGTAAAAAGAATAATCCAATTATAGATTGAACTATATTGGATAGTTATACATTTAATTTTTTCATTATTTTACAACTACTTTATGATCATTAATACAATTGACTATGATGGATTTTTTGGCAAAATTATGATCAAATTTCAAAGTATTATTTAGATGAGACATAGTTTTCGTTATATCTTACACTAACACTGGCTAAGTAATTACATTTTTTTTAGGGGAGAGTACTATTTTTAGTAGTATTTCTCTAAATATTTGACCGCACTAATATTAACTTATCCACATTTTGGACATTACAATACGTAATATGTGATAGTATCAATAGTCAAATAATTAGGTTGGAACTTTAACTATATTGAGCAGTATTAGTTTTAGGTTTCATAATATTTTTTTTAGTATTTGAGACTATTAATACTATAACTTACTTATCTTTTGCTTATTACAAAATTTCAATACAAATTGACACTAACATATACTTATAAAATTTGTTTTTTAGAATTATTTTATGATCATTAATACCATCACCGATAATGACATTTTGCAACCCTGTTGGGATAGAAGGTAGCTTTTTCATAGTACTAGTTTTGGTATTATTATAATTGTAGCTTTGATTTTCAAAGTACGTTTTTTGGTATATGATATATTAGTACTATAGCATATTGATCTTTTGGAAGTTATAGGCTTTTAGTACCTTTTGGCACTTATATACTATCACAAATTGGTATTTTATAGCTATTTTATGATTATTAATACAATCCACAACAACAAAATTTTGAATTATTATTTAGATTAGTAGTAGTTTTCACCATATTTAATAGTATAGTAGTCAAACAACTAGATAGTAGCTTTTACTATATTCTACTTGCTAGTTTGTTTGGATAGTGGATTATTTGCAAAAATTTATTTGCTTACATCATCAATATATTTTCCAACCACCTTTTTATTTTACATACATTACATAAAAAATGCAATAGTATTTTTTTTCAGAAAATTATCCCCAATGATCTACTATCCAAACACTTAATATTATTTAATTTTTATTTTTATAGTACTTCTTTTAGTATTTTACAGTACTAATATTGTAACTTAATGATGCTTTGAACATTAAAAAATATATCTTATATCATACTACATACGTAGATCTCTTCATACAAAATGATAACCGCAACCTGTTACAGTATGTTGCCTAGTATTTAAAGGAATTTTAATACATAACAATTTGTATCTTTACTAAACGATGTGGCAATCATGTATTAAGATTTGCATTGAGGGTTTGGTTTCCTTGAAAACATTAAGGGACAATTGAATTTTCCCCAAAAAAGTTTATTACATTGTGCACATATGGAAGATGAAAAGTTTAGTGAGCTATTTGATATAAAAAAATAATTCAGTAAGTAAAATGAGACATTTGAAAAGTTTAGGTCACATTTGGCCACATTTATGTTTGGTATTTTTTTTATTCAAAAAATACAACAAACAAAAATAGAAAACACTATTTGGTAAATTTGTTTTGTTTTTGGTAATCTAAAAACATTTGGCGAAAAAGAGGGTGTTTTAGAAACACTAAAAAAAAAGTTTCATGCCGCTTCTAAAACAAATTTAAGCAGGTCACATTAATCATTCTCAGTAGAGTATTTAGCCAAAAAAATATTCAGGTGGACAATATTAGATTTTTGAAAAGTTTGATGACCCTTGACATAGTTTGACAAAAAAATATGGTATTAGACGATGTTTACTTGATTTGAGCCATATAGGCCAACTAACTAATATTAACTAATATTAGAGATGGTTTGCTGTGTTTTAAACAATTATTTAAAATATCCGCTACTTGCGTACTATATATTTACCATTATGATAACAATCATTAGAAAATAAACATTTTAAAAGACATCACATGTGCAGGTATGCATTTTTTTTTTTTTGTTGATTAATCAATAGGAATAATTTGATAGATGGAGGATATTTAATTTTAAGTTCATTCCAAAAGAAAAAAATCCCTCTTCACAGTTCGCACATTTCTGCAATTTCAGGTGCGAACTAGTCAATCAAAGCCGGATTGACGAACCTTCAGCACCCAAAACCCAAATCTTAAACTTAACAAAGGATGAGGCAACAAATGCTCCTCCATGTACATATTTGCACAATAAAAAAAACTTGTGAAAATGGATTTCCCTCAATTGATGATAGGTGTTCCCGAATTTAGCACGTCATCAGGTGATCCCTCCACAAACCTACGCAACTCCTTTGGCAATGGGATATTAAGCTCTGTGCAAACTAAATCGATTACTTTAGCAGTTACAGTCCCCATTGACATCTTATTGATAGTCACAGCTATTGCAAATCTGTGTTCTATGTTGCAATAGCCAGTAGAGCCACCCATACCTGAATGCCCAAAGCCAACAATGTCGCCACTCATTGTGTAAGATCTCTTAAAACCAAGCCCAAACTGCCCATCTGGAAGGGCAAGATTTTCATATTCTCCAACGCCCATGAAAGCATCATGAATCCGAGGGCTACAGAAGAGCTTGCTAACATTTCTACCATCAAAACTATCACCTTCAGATGCACAAGGTTTGCTACTGCTAGAGTCGATAGGAACTCTAGTGTAACTGTTACCCCTTGCAGTCCTGCGAGAATTACCTCCACCAGAACTATCATGTTCTTGCCGTTGGTGAAAGTTACCAATCTTCTTCGATGCAGTCAACAAGTTTTTGATATTTGCAGCTCTATTTTTCTTGCAAATATTCTTAGTAGGAAATTTTGGAGTGTGAAGATGGCTTCCAAGTGGAGGCCCCGAAGAAGAATGGGGTGCTGGCACCACCCCTCCATCAACAAGTGCAGCATAGTAGCGTGCAAGTGCACGAGCTGAGCAGTGTCCATTTGCAGCTGGTATGATGGCTCGGCGAGCTTGGAGGGTGTTAAACAGAGAAGGAAGACTGGTCAGCTGCTGCAAAATATCTTGTGGCTGGAAGCTGGAAGGTAGGTCTGAACGGTTGCCAATAGTAGAGATCTTGTTTAGATCATCCATGTCCAAAGTTAGCGTGGCCAGCCGGGACTCCACTCCTGGGAAAAAGCATCACGTGATTGATCAATTAGAAGAACAAAGGACACTAACAAAATATCACATCATCTGCAGGCCCTGCAAAAGAAGCAAAAGATAAAGAACTATTACCAAAAAACAAGTGATGGAACTCAACCACTAAACAAAACCAAAACAATCAACGATGCACGTTCAAAAGGATTGCTGTAAGGCAAATTTGACCAGTAAAAAGGTGACTGCATTTTCCTTGTGGCTACGTCACCACCCCTCCTCACCCCAAAAATATTAAAAAACAAAAAAGATCTAGTCCACAAGTCACCAAAAAGAAACAATAAGCACCTTAGCAGGAAATGGAATCCCCAAAAAAAAAAGGGCTCTTGGCAGATATTCCATTCAAGGACTCTTAGAAAGGAAACAGCTACTATAACTGTTTAGTGTTACCTGATCAAGTGCTGAATTCAACCAAATTAAAGACAAGTTACAAGAGACTCTAAAGAGCTTTGTCTTACAGGCTGATTAAGGACATGGGCATCGGGTGATAGATCAAGAATCTATGGTACTTGATTTAACAAAGGCAGAAAGAAAAGAGAAAGGAATATGGCTTAGGTTTACAGTGCAAATCAAGGTTTTTAAAGGAAAAACAAACTAGAATCTACAATTGGGAGGAACTTTAGCATAAATCTTAAAAACAGTATCATTACCATTTGAACAAGATAAATAGAACGAATCTAATAAGACGACTTTGTAGATTTCTAATCGTAAGTTTGAACCTAAAGGTTACAGGGCAATATTCTAATCTATGCATTACTTTTCAGCTTCAACCTCAAACCAGCTACACCATCAGTTTCAGCTCTAAAAGCATCCAAGGGATACAATTAGACCCAAAAAAAAACCCACCATGCTTCCTTTTGCTGATGAAAGAGAGGCGAGAACCACAGCTAAATTGAAGTTAGATGAGGAACTCATTCACTAGAAACCGCCCACCTCAACACCAAAAATTTGGTTGTCCTAAAGGTTAAATTGTAGTAATACGTGGATCCCATGACATATTAACTATATTATGTCTCCCTACTACCCCACAACACACAGACTTCAATAAAAAAACATGCGCTTAGACATACATTCAGGCACGTGTACGCATTCACAAGATCCAACTCCAGACTAACATCAATTTCTTAAGTCTTTTCTCTGGTAAGGAAGATTTAAACATTCTGCTAAAGTTTACCAAGTGCCATAGCCATAATTATCCCACATCTGCCGCAGGCTTTTCAAACTATAGCATGTGCTACAAGTCAGCTTAATAATGGTCAAATTAAACAAGTCATTTGACCATTGTGCCTCCATCTGATATCAACAGCTAGCAATGGTGAGTCAAGTTCAAAGATACTTTAATATTGAACATCCAAACACACAATTCTAGATCCCTCCTAAAAGCTTGTGATTATAAAAATTCTAGACAATCTACCCTGATAGAACCAAGCAAGATTGCACAAACTATATGACATATTTTGATTAAATGTTTTATTCATGTAACTCTCAACTATATAAACAATATAATAGGATTTGGTTCTATTTTGGGAGACTGGATTTTTTATGTAGACCCCACTTGTTCAATCAGTTATATCTAGAAATCAAAATATAAAGAGTTTAAATCATGCCTGGAGGAATTCCAACATACAGCTCGCCATCAATCTTAAGAGGATGAATAAATGCTTCTTCGAGAATTTCCTGATACTTCTTTCCTGATGCATGCTGTTCAAACGGCAATTGGTTAACAGATTGAAAAGTATAACAAAAAGGCTGTCTATGGTTCTATTATGGAAATGAAATTGGACTAGAATGGAATTGCATTCTCAAAATATGTCACTTAATGTGAATAAATGCCATGCCAATTCTGATTCTGATGGTAAACCAAACACACAGAAAAAGGCAAAAAAAGAAAGGTGTTGAAGTCCACAAGTTACTCTAGTCAAATATCATTCTAATGCGTGAAGTTGGAATGGATAGACCTTGCCATGGCAAGGCAGGTCCAAATATAAAAGGCAACCATGGCCAGTAGTTTACTGCATCAGTATACATTCATATTATCTTTAGTACAGCTTAGTCCGAAAATAGATATTAAAAAAGTAAAGTTCAAAGTACAATAAAATTGCTCAACTCTCTAGTTTCTTCATGCTACAATTTAGAGACAATTGCAGTTTTCTTCCCTAAAATTTAGGCACTGCATCAGCCATATAAATCAGGTCCATAGTACATCTACTTTCCTCTAGAAAAAGGACAATTAACAGAATTCTGTTCCTAATTGCCATTTTGACCTGACAAGGCCACTGGCAGAATTTGGGCAATTGCTACTGGTGAAGAGCCACATGCAAGTTAGTCAAAACAATAAGGAAAAACTTTTTACTCTTGGAATCAATTGCAAAGTCATTCTTACCTACTTCTCCCTTCAATTTTTATGTTGATCATAACTTCAGTAAGCAGATTTTTGAGAAAGACAATTTTTTAAAATTTACTTATAGAAAGCGCAGATAATTTTTGTAAACGGATCTAGATGTATTACTGTTTTCCGTAATTTCCACATTAATCTGATCATTGATGATGAATGATGTCAATTGCCCTTTATTTGGTCAAAGTGAAAAAATCATCAACAAATTTGTTTTGTAGGAACAATATTGACTACTTTAATGAAAATTGAAAACATTAAGGACCATACTACTTTTTTTTATACCATTCGGGATCAATTTGGTGCATTGCCCAAACTTTGGGACCAAACTGCAATTCTATAATGTCGAACTGCCAGAATACCTCTATAATGCCTCCACAAAGCCAACCAAATGACAAATAGTGGTACAGCTGCTGACTGCCAGGTTCAGTTTCAGGGGCTGTCATAGCCATGCAGTTCAAACATTCATCCCAATCAGTCATTAGCAATGGGTTCTCCCGCATAAGCTCAGCTAGAGCATTATGCAGACCACTGGTGTGGTTAAGCACATGATGAACCTAGCAGAGAGAATAATCAGTTGTAAAACAAACAGAAAACAGAACCTTTGTACAGCATTATGAAAACATGCAAAACTCAATTTCAAAGCAGATTCTTAGGTTGAAATACATTGTGAAGTGTTGGTCAAACTCTTTCAATAACCCTCTATCACTTTCAATGATGCTGTAAAGTGCCAAACCATATACAGCTCATATCCACATATTAGATATAACAGGTTTGTTCTGGAGACCAAATTAGAACAATTTAAGATTCCTTACTTCCTGAGAAGTCTACAAATATTTCCAGTAGATATAACAGGTTTTTATCAGCAAAAGATGACATGAAGAATAAATTGGAGCATAAAAGCTCACACCTTTATTTGATCTTTTCCATTTGATCCAAATCCTGGCCAAATGTTTTGGATGTTATCCTCAAGCCTCAACTTCCTGGTACATGAAAACTTCAAGCAGTCATTCTTCTGCCTATCAATTTAAACATCTGGCTACTCAAGAAAGCAATGAAGTAGAAAAGGGAGTGAAAATAAATGAACACTACTCATAGAGAATCAACATCATGTGGAAGTTAAGCCTATCATGTATATTCTTACAAAAATGGAAAATAATATCAGTTTTCAGTAAAATGCCCTCACAATTATTGGCGCAGCCAGAAAATTTTTGCTGTGGGGGTAAAATTTATAAAGCTATGCTTCGAGGATATTTTCATAGTCTTTATATCTCATGTATTCAAAATTTTTTATTTAAAAAAATTTCTAGTCCAATTGAGTAACCAGTTCTAGGTTCATTTTCGAGTTATCAATCTCTGCTTCATTTTTAAAGCATCCTGATGTTAGGCTAGCTTCAATTTCAAATCACAGTAGAAAATAAGAAAATTAGACAAATGTACAGCTTGCAAGATGACAAACATTTTGTAGTTAACTGCCAATGTGAAAGAATCAGATTGGAATTTGATGTAGAATATATTTCATGTCTATCGGTCTTTCAGCGTTTTCTTTAAAATATATAGCTGCCAAACCTCTCTCCAAATAATTTTTTTAATTAATCAACAACCAATACCAAATTAAATAAAAAAAAGAGTGGAAACAAGAAATAATGTACGTTCACTTCATGTAGCTCATACTTTAATGTAGCTTACATACTCCAAATAAAAGTCATGATAAATACTATACAAGACCTGATAGTCATTTGTATAGTTTAACCGTGTCAGTGCCTTGAGGGGAAAACTGTTGAATTTACAATTGTCATTGAATTTTGCAGAAACTAGCAAAAATCTATACACTACTACACGTTTTGGAGGACCGTGGCTCTGTTACTGCTCCCAATTGGAGCATAGATATTGAATCTGTTAAAATATCATATCTGGTGCAAAATATGATAAACAGAGATATTTCTATGACCCCAACTTTAAAACAATCCAATTTTCAAACTTCTAGGGATTAGCCTTGGAGATTCATTTGCATGAAATTTGCTGAACCATAGTTGGAATATGTAACATTTTTTTTTACCCAATATCAAATCATTTTTGACATAAAATAGACCACCCAAGGTGCTCATACCCTAATCACTTGTCCTCCAAAAAGCTTACTAAAGATCTGATCAAAAAATGAAATGATCAATTAAGTACAAGACGAAAAGTTACAAGATTTTCAGATTTCATGTCCATTGATAAAGAAAATGGACCCTGCAGAGATGGTTTTGTAAAAGATACTGCAAAATATTGCCATCGACTATATCTGGCATTTAACAATTTATAAATAAATAAATAAGAGAGATTAAAAACCCCAAAGCAGTTATATATAATGACTAAGGACTTCCAAACGATCAACAATTATTATCTTTAGCGTGCAGAAAACTCAGGCTCTAAACTTTTATCTAGATTGTCACAATCAGACAGCATTTGAAATGATACTTACATTGGAATATTCTAATAAGAGTAATAAGTCAATTAATTCAATTAGTTACTAATATCTCTTCAGAAATTGAATTTGATGCTAACATTTTTTTTATTGATAACTGAATTTCATGCCATTTATCCAAAAATAAGTACTAAGTAATACTCGGGTGGCCAAGTAAGGGTGGACAGATACAGGTTCATCAAACAGTGCATGTGCATACTGTTCTTGTATGCACAATTTCAGTAGAATAGGCTGCCTGTCAAACAAGAATCAACAATCATACAATCACGAACCACTAAACTTCCACAACTTTAAAACTGAAACTGAGAAGATAATGACAAATTGATGAAGCTTGACACTGTTGGTTGGCTTTTTCTTAAGGAGTAAATACATGAAAGGTCATACACCATACAGATAACAAATCACTTAGTCAAGGTCAATGTCATAAAAGGCAAAGGCATTAGGCAGGGCATTTTGCCTCCGCCCAGGTGAGGCGAAAGCCGGGCTTGGGGTGGAAGCCTTACGAATTTTGAATTTTTAATATTTATAAGTGTAAATATATATATGATGAAAATGAACATAATTTTCAAATTTTATTCCATAATAATTCAAAAAGAGTTTCAACCCCCTTCCAGCCCTATTAGTATCTATTTTTCATTACTAAATACTAAATTTAGTATTTAGTAATTTCCTTTTTCTAGTATGAGATAGGTGCACTATTCCACGGTGGAGATTGTAACTTTCTATAAATTTCACATTAGTCATTTAATGACTGAACACTTATTTCTTTTTTTGAGGATCGATGAATCAAATGATATTTCTGTTCCAACTTTTGCCTCTTCTTCTCCCGCTGAATCAAACCTTTCCTTGCTACCGTGAAAAAATATGCTAAGCATGCTCAATTGGGTTAAATTTTTGAATTAGATCATGCCACTTTGAAATCCAATGGTGTTTTTTTGTGGCAGTCCAAGGGGATGGTTCACTTTTGGACACGCTTCATTTGCTTTGCTCTTCTTTTTCAGTCACATTTGGCATGGTTAAAGATTGGAGAAAATGAGAAAAACTTCATCAAATATACAAACAACTATCATAAAAATATGTAAAATTAAGAAACTTTACAAAAATTAAACTGTTACAACATATGGTAGTAATAGTAGTATGAAAAATATGGTAAAATAGTGGTTATGGACATCTTAAAATGACAAGGGACCGTGAATTTAGAAATTTAGATTTCTATATTCTTATCATATTGTATTACCATCTAAAGATGGTAACATCTAAAAGATACTAAGTTTTGGGTTAGATAAGAAATAAAGATAACATGTGAGATAAGTTTTAAAAGTCAGTTAAAATAGGAGGACTTATTACTAAATAATTTCTAGCAATTGCCCTATACCTCTAAAGTCCAGCTGCCGTCAACTGCAAATCATCCCTCTTTGTCATCCCCAAATCTCCTTTGCACCCCAAATTGACAGACTCTCAACTCTTCTTACATCCTAATAAACTTTTCCATGGTTCCATATCATCTCCCCACTTATCATTAATGGTAAAAACCATTTAGGAATCAATTAACAATGTTTATATTTCCTATCCTATTTCGCTTTCTTCCTCCAAAATTCACGATTTCTGATTTCTGTTGGGTCGTGAAGAGTGCTGGGGTGCATGCCCAGGGGCACCTCCGCCTTTGAGGCGACCTTTGGGTGTTCACCCCACAACAAATATACGCCCCCTGCAGCCCGCCCTGCCTCTTAATTTCCATCTAATGAAGCTAATACGTATTCTTTCTTCTCATTTTCTATATTGACTTTCTCATCTTGCTTATGAATCATTAGTTACACAATCTATATATCCTTATCCGCTGCATTAAATATCAAAACATTATGCAGCCCAACATTCACCAAGTTGATCTCACACCAAAGCTGTATATTAAGCAATTAAGTGCATACCCATTATCAACTAGCCAATGTAACAGCCCAGATGTGATTCCCTTTGTTACTGAGAAAACTGGAAATAAGCTATCAGGTTGAACCGGTCGAGGATCATATCTTCCCAGAATTCCAGCAGCAGTATCAATGATCACTTCTCCATCTTTGTAGGCACATACCTTAAAAATAATATAAGTTAAATATAAAGAAGGAAATATATAATTAGGAAGTAGGACATGATTAACACAAAAAAATAAAACTAAAGATAAAACCTAAAATAGCTTTACGTGAACTGGACTTGTTAAGAGAGATGTATTAATGATGGCATTTCCCAATACTATAAGATGTTAAGGAGATTACAGCGACACCAGCATCATTCGATTAGCAAAAAAGTTAAAGTGCCATCAAAGAAAGAATACCCAGATTTTCGTAGACAAGTCAGAGAATTTCGCTAACTGCACACTATAAGATAGTAGAAACCTCACATTGATACGTCAAATATGTTTAATGTATTCAAAACTGCCATTTAACAAGCTCAAAGCCAGCAACACTCCAAAATGAGATTCAAATTGCCAAGTTGGTTCAATTTAAATACAATCGACTAAAGGATACGATACTTCTCTAACCTCAGATAATAACTTGATACATGACACCTAGAAAATATAATTAAACTTCTTGCTCACATCTATCTAGGATCATACTTCACCCATCTTCATAAGACTCAACTTTGGTCTGCAATTTATCATTTTGCAAGTTACTCATGTTGGTCTATATCGAGTGGAAATAGACAATAAACAAACTAAAGGTGACCTCATACAAATAAAATTCGCAAGCTGCTACCAAAATCATAGAATTGGCATAGATATAGGATTTGAGCACCTAAATATATCCAGAAACGTTAGAAATAAATGCATAGATTTTTGGTAAGTACCTACAGTTTATTCATTAAAAGTTGAGGCATCCAATTGGTTGTATCTTCATTATTTTAAAGCAGCTCTGCTGAGGACACAGAACATCCTACGGCAAGTGCAATATTGGCAAGCAAACTATAAGCTCATCCACGATAATCGCACACCCAGAGCTGCAAACAGGGACTAATTTAAGCTTTCAGAAGACAGATATACAGAACTTTATAACCTCCAGAACTTTTCGTTGGAAAACATAGGTGTTCAAAAAATTGATTTCAAAACCTCTATCTTCTACACTAATTGTTCCCTGCTGATGATTTTACTGAGATAAAAAAAATTGATTTTGGAATAAAATGATGACCTCAATTTTCTAGTGAGAGCCTTTTGACGAGATTGAAAAGAACCAATATGGTTAAGTTTCCTTTTCTGGCTGGTCTTGTATTGAAATCAACCAATTATAGAAGCAAAAAGGAACAAAATAGATTGTCTTTAAAAACACCTTCAGTAACTTTTTGGAAGAGCATGTACCAAGGACGGCACAACTCAAATAACAAGCTTGCTTTGGGGTGGATGATGGCACCATTATCAGTTTTTAGAGTGACATTTGTTGTGGGGACAAAGCTTTTAAGTATAAATATGTCCCATCATTCAGCAAATTGCAATCAACCAAGGTGAGACTGTTGTTGTCATCGTTACTGGAAACAGTTCAGGAGTGATATGCCAGTCACCTATCCAAAGAGATATCCAAGTGCCCTAAGTACTCCACAAGCAAATTTTCTAGCAGATGTTTGTTTGTAAGTGATAACCAACACATTGATGCGGTGAAGTGGAATGGTGGAGCAAAATGTGAAATTTCTGGAAGTACTATTATACTTTGCCGAGAGGTGAATCATCAATAGAGTTTCTTTCAAACAAAAATGAGGTACTATTGCTCCAAGAAAAGTGGCATTTCTTTCTTAGAAAGACACCCATGATAGCATCCTAACAGGGGAATAACTTGAGAAAAAGGATTATGATCTATGTTAATTGCTAATTACTTTGGCTAAGATGTGAGGATGCGACAAGCCACCTCCTCTTGCACCGTCCATTTTCAGCAGAACCACGGCATAGAGGGTCCATGGATCAAGACAGTAAGTAAGGTTCCAAAATCATTTAAAAAAAGAAAAAAGAAAAACTCCAAGTTTTTGTTGGTACGAGCATTCTCTATTATTTGAAAGGTGAAATGGGTTGTGTGGCAATGTGTACAGAGCCTATAGTTCATAACTTGGAAATTTGCTCCGAAAGGAGAGAGAATGAGGACATTTGGGATATGTAGAGGGTACCAACATTCTTTACTACTTGTGACGTGAAATGGTTAGCATGAAAATATGTGCAGAGCCTATAATTAATAAGTTGGAAAATTTTCTCTGAAAGGAGAAAGCACGAGGACATTTGGGATATGTAACCCACTCTTTACATTTTGGACACAGGAGAGAGAGAAAAAAGAGAGCTTTGATTGGAGACCATGAGAACCAGTTAAAATTCAATCCCAGGACACCCCTGACTGTTGAATGAATGGTCACCAATCAACTGATAGTCTATATGATTCTTTTGATAGGGCCTATATTGTATAAGAAGATAACTACTTGTTTCTCCTGAGTTGCATCACCTTAGTGCATTTTAATAAAACTACTACCTTCATGGATAAGAAGAGGAAAGTACAAAGTACACAGGATTTGGTACCTCCTTTTTGTGTTTCTATCTATACATTGGTGAGTTTTAGCATGGTGAAATTAAGAAAACAATTGAACTGCAAAGCCTAGAAAAGAAAGAGCAAAGATGACAAGCAAAACAAAAGGACAAGATTCTCCAACATAATAAAAAGGACTTTCACCTTGCCAAGTCAGCAAGGATTAGAATGGAAATACCCTTGTCCTGACATGTAGGAACAATATTCCAATATGTCAATAATTTGATATTCACAGAAAATTCTGACTGAAATTGCATTCCTGCCTTAACTTGTTTACAGATAAAGCTGATTGAAGGGGAAAAAAAGCCATGAACACACAAGGAAAATTATCCCTCACTTCCCTTTCGACTAATTACTTAAAGAGCTAATGACTACTTATTGAAGATCAAAGAAAATTGAACACATTAAAGGAGGCTGGCATGAGTTTTTTTTTTTTTTTTAATGAGTGGTTATAAATGCAAAACTGAGTGCTAAAAAGATCTTAGTAATGATCAAATAAGAGTAAAACAATAAACCATGGTCATTCACCTGGATTCCAAGGATTTTATTGGCATTCCCTAGTTCAGTTAGGAGATTTCTCAGCTTGACTTCAATATCAGAATGGGCAGGGCTATTGAAGATCCAATCTTTGTTCAGTGATGAGCCTTCACTATGGCTCCTGAAAGTAGGTATAAAATAGATTAGATGACACCTCTGGGCATGGCCAAACACGAGCAATATAGACTTTACCTCTGTAAAACAGATTCAGCAAATGGTCTCATAATATCAAAATATGCTATTCGAGCATTCATTGTCGATGAAAGCCCTGAAATCCTTGTCAACAACTAAATCAGAACCCAATCCTCAAAAACAAGCAATAAAGAAAAGCAAAAGATCTTGAATACCTCTGAGCAGATTGATGACACGGGTAAATATAACAATATCACCTGGGAAAGCATCAACCTGGATAGAACACCACCAGCTTAACTTGGGAAATGAAATTCACCTATAGCGTGTCAAAAATACAAAACACAAAAGAAGAAAACAAACTTACCGGATTAAAATATTTTATTTCATTTTGGTTAAGATTTATCTTTTCTTGTATGAACTTCATATTTCTAGCCCTTTGCTCAGCTAAAGATTTGACATTTTCCTACGCCAAACACAGTAATGAGTCCAATGTAAAGCAAAGGGAATTGGAAACTATTGGAAAACAAAAAGTGTCTTAACAAGAGCTTCATTTGCTGGTCTTGATGCACGGAAAAACACATTTGCTATCTCCATCGCCTGCTCTGGCATGTCCAAGCGTAACTTAAGGCCCATTTCTGCAAAAGCAGATAGGAGTGCAACATGATCACCCTGCAAAGACACCACAATTTTGCAGGTAAAAGGAGTAAAGAACCATCATAATTGAAAGAACTAATATCCAGGAACTGCAAACAATTACTCAAACAGAAAGCATTCTTCTAAATGAAGCACTGTTACTGATGAATGTAGCCACAAAGACGGAGTCTTTGTGACAAGAAGGGACAACTATGGTCAGAAAAGGAGAGATGCGGCTTGGGACAACAGTGGTCAGAAATGAAGAAAGGTGGCTTGGGACAACTGCTTGGAGTTGCCGCTAGCATATGGACATCATACTGGTTCATTACACGTATTTAAGAAATTTGAACATATTCTTAATACACTTCATTGATTCTTTGACAAATTCATTACTTTAGATACAATAGCATGTGATCTAGCAATTAAATTAGTTTAAGAAAATGAGACGGTATGCAATATTCCTTCTACAAAAATAAGTATACAAACAAAGTTAAATTTGTAGAATAAGTTATGATAAATCAAAAGAAATATAATTCCAAGAGAAAATGTCACAACCATGCTGAAAAACGTCATAAGATGATAAAGGAAAGGAATAATTAACCATAAACCATTAACAATCCTACCGAAATGTAGTAAAGCAAGAAAAGATATAAATAAATAAATCTATTGAGCACCAAAAGAATCACACCTTATTTAATTAAACAATGTTTCTATTGATCAAACAAGCTAAAGAAATTAACAAACTTCTAGAAAAGATAACAACATCAAGCCAAAAAAAAAGAGAGAGAAATCAAGACAAGATTGTTTAGGTGCAACTTATATTTGTTACAATGATTATGGTAGGAGCAACTTATAACATGGTAACAATAACAACACATAAAATCATGTTAAATCACAGATAAAAACTAAAAATAAGACAAATTCAGTCTTTCTATTAGCCGGTTGAAGTAGAAATGAAGAGCTTCTAGGCCCAGTTTGGAAGTTATAAAAAAGAAAAATTTGAAAAGAAAACTTCAATTGGGAAAGAAAAGGAGGAGAAAGGATGACAACTTTCTTCTATGCTGTTTGGGATTTATGGACGAGAAAGATAACTTATAGGAACTTAAAAGGATTCACCCACACAGTTTTTATTTATTATTTTGATGCTTAAATATGATATTCAAAGCTATAAATGAAGCAAACTCACATTCTCTCCACTTTCTTGTGAAAACTTTCTTAAGCTTTCATCCTCACATTCCTCCACATCTCTAGGTTTCTCGCACTTAAAACTGTCTGTCAAAAAACCTCTACTTTCCCTTCTGTTCTCTCCTTCACCCCATTTTTCTGAATCCAAACGAACACCTGAGCTCTTTCATTTACTGGCTGGATGAAGTTGCACTGAGATTAGGCTACTGAGATGTTTCACGCAAATTTTTACCGTCTCTTCTCGCTATATGTCTTCATTTCTCTTTCTTTCTTTCACTACCTTTCCCCCCATTATTTTACTTTTAGCCTATTAGGATGCATAACTATTTGAGGCCATAAGTGTAGGATAATGTTAACGAATATTCTAAAGTTAAGGTGCAGCAATTGCCCACACTCATCAACAGAGACTGCTTCTCTCACAAATTAACACTATCATACCCTGTCATGAACTCTCTTTTAGAAAGTCATGCTAAAAAGAGTTCCAAGTTCTGCACCCAGGCACACGACTGGCATATTGGCATCAGCAACACAGACGGTACTTCTCTCACAGATTTAAGAATATCAATCCCTGTCATGAACTCTCATTTAGAAAGTGATGCTGGAAAGACTTCCAAGTTATGCACTCACGTACAAGACCAGCATGTAGCATTAAGTTAAGACTATTACACACAATAACGACATACACGATTTGTACTGGTCAGCATGTTTGACATTTGTGCAATTTGAACTTAAATGCTACATTAGTTCATTAACTTCATAAATCAAATAAAAAAATTTTCACCCAGTGCTCTTCAAACTCCATATAGGAGGAGACCGCAAGTAGATCCAGGATGAAACCAAAGAAATGTCAAAAACCATCAAAACTGGTTTGTGTAGACAAAAGCTTGAAGCCACCAGAAACACAGAAGAATAGAAAGATCAAGCACTTCAAAAAGCACTGCAAATCTTTCTTAACAGTGTAACTCCCTTTGTGTTTTAGCAAGCAACTCTACCATTCTCAAAATTTATAGGATTGAAGATCGCATACACCATATACCAAAGAGAGAGTGCCATAAGCCAAATGGACTCGAAAACTCCCGCATGGTAACAGGGAAAAAATGATTAATTCAGAACCTTTAGATATATGTAAGTTGACTAGCTGTGAGTAACTGAAGCTGAGAAGGGCTTTGCAGATTCAGCTATCAATGTGACCGTTAAAGTTAACCTTATCATGGACAATCTTTTCCCATCACTAATATTACCCCTGGGACATTGCAGCATACTGACCTCAACAGATGCCAGAAACATTTTCGCTAGAGCTTGTTTCATAGAGCTTGATAGTGATTTAGTGAGCCCAAAATCAAGAAGGATTGGACGATGTGGAGGTTCCTTGCTCACAAGAAAGTTTCCTAGGATATACAAGGTGTGCAAGCATTTTGTTAGACAAAAACCATGAATCTCCTGCATAGTCATGCCAGTGCACATGGTGGGTATGAAGATGCTGTACCAGGATGAGGGTCACCATTAAAAAATCCATCAACATAAATCTGGTGAGCATACGCCCGTGTGATTTCTTCCACGAGCTTTTGTTTGTCAACACCCAAAGCTTGTAGTGATTCAAGGTCATTTAAACGAACACCATCCATGTATTCCAGAATGAGGACATTTTCTGTTGACTGACAGTACAAGCAAAATATAACACAGGGTAAGGATTGATTACTGAAGTAGAAATAAATTGGAGATATATGTAGTAGCAGTCAGCATAGTTTCAAATGCCACCTAAAAGAACTTGCTTGTCAGCAATCCACTAAACCTCCTACATTATTAAGCATAAGTCATCAAGACAAATATATAAATGATACCAACAAACAAATTGCAAATGGATACTTCCCAAACTACAATCCAAGGAAACTTAAATTCCCACTCGCATACAGTTACATATACCAAATATAACCCAATTAACAATAAGTTCATTAAGGAACCCTCAATGTCATACCAGTAGGGAGTCTAAGTCCAAACAAGACAAGCTGTAGGACCCTAGGACAATACTGTATAAGAACAAATATGAGATATTTCCAGACGCATGAAATGCCAACTATGGCAATAATCATTAGGCACACAAGTGACAACTACTTGCTATATCCCTTTTAACAAGGAAGTTCAAAGTAAAGCTCACCACTATTTTAAACTTCAAACTGCATTTCATGCAACCATGTTTCATGAGAAAACAGTTTCCCCAAAATTTACAGATTGTGGCTTGTTTACATAATTAACAGGTCCATGAAGTGCAAAAATATGGAACATGAATGTCAGGATCACAAGTGACAAGTAACGTGCTATATTGTTCTCAAGCAGGGACACAGGCCCATGTAGAGTTCTCCACCATAATAAACTTCTTGCTGTTTTCAGGGAAACTGAATTCATTAGTAATATAAGATACACAAATACACAGACACAGGCATGCCTTCTCTCTATCTCTGTGCCTATGGATGTGAACTGAGGGCTTCAAATTCTATATTTGGTTAGTACATGTTTAAGAGGTCTACACAAACATTCTCCCTGTCAGTAACTATTTTTTCCTGTCCATTATATATTATGGTAAAAAAAAATGAATTAATTGCTCCACCTATTATCTGTAATTCTAACAAAAATGATTTTAACTGCAACTAAGCACTTTAACATTAACCTCCCATTAAATTTAACTCATTGTAAAGGAGGAATAGATATGGCTCCACTTTCACTACAAATGCATGAAAATAGTATTTTTGTCTGAACAACTCTCTTGCTCTGTCTTTTCTTTTGAATTATAATTCCAAGTATCTCAAAGAGGCAGGGTTTGGTAAGCTGAACATAGAATAAGTGATCTAATTAGAGTGGTAGATAGCTCATCCAGATAACCAATCTGATTAGAGTGACAGATAGCTCATCCAAAGAATCAAATTCATCAATGTCCAAGGTTTCAAGAGTGATTTGTGATGGCCAATAAGAAAAACTCTCATAGAAGTCACGGGTAATGCAAATGAAGATTCAAATATGAGTGCAAGTGTGAAAATGTAAGAAGAGTGCAAGTGTGCAAATGTAAGAAAAGTGCAATGTGTGACGTCTCGAAAAAAAATGAGTTTGAGAACCCGGAAATTTTCTAATTTTTTAGGGTTTATTTTTTTAAATCGCTCACCTTTTCTACATTTTCTTGATTAGAAAATTCCCCTGATAAAGTTTATGAGCAAAGATAGTTTTAAAATGATTTTTCTAGTATCAATTAGTTTTTGAGAAATTAAGAGCTTATACCGGACGTGGGACCTGCTAGTGTGATATAATTTTGGTGACTAAGTGAATTGTGTGCTAAGTGTTATTATTTTACAAGGTGCTAGGAAATGATTAGAGGGTGGTTATATGATGTAACCATTGGAAGCCAAAGGATTAAAGAAAATACTAGAAGGGCCAAGTGTCACAAACCCATTGCAAGTTGGACCTTTGACTAAGACCATGATTTCTTCTTCTTATCTTGACCAAACCTTTTGTTTTCATCATTTCTTCTTCTTGTAAGCATGATGGACGAAATTTTGAGAGAAAGAGAGAGAAAATCCAGCATCTTGCACCTCAATTTCTTCCTCCAATCTTGAGTTCTAACCGATTAAATTGCAAATCACTCCATAAAACTTGCTAGCTAAGGAAGATTGAAGCTATTGGTGGAGTTGTTTTGGAAGAAAATCCCTAAGCCATCACCTTTCTTGATATTTCAAGGTATCATGTCTAACCATCCTTTCTTTGATCTTGATTTTGTTAAATTAATGACTTGTGATGGCTAATGAGATGTTTTAGTGGAAGATTAGCACTTGAATGCAAAAATTTCCAGATTAGGGTTTTCAATTTCCCCAATTCTGCCTGACACTGTTCATCATAGTTAGAGGCCGAATTAGCCTTAGCACAAAACATGAAAGTTGTAGAGAATGAGGTTTTATAGTTGCCTACAAAATTTCAGCTCAATCCAAGTTCGGTAGCCTGTAAAAAGACCAAAATACCCATGCTGCCTGTTTCTGTCCGAACCTGGAAATCAGCTTTGGTAATTGATTAGTTTGACTGGGAATACTACTGATTTGGTTGTTGATGTCTTCTTACGAATTCTAGCCTTGTATCTTAGTTTTTAAATGGCTTTGGAATTACCTGATTTGGAGTTGTGTGTGCTGAGTTATGACTGAATGAATCAGGACTGCCACAGTGAGCTTCGAACTAGAAAATCTGGGGGGTTGTTTTGGTAAATATGACCTAGTTAGGGTGAGAACTAGACTGAGTGGTTTTCATGAAAGTTGTATGGAATGATATTTTAGAGGTGCCTGCAAAATTTCAGGTCAATCAGAGTTGCGTAGCTTGAGAAAAGATGGAATTACCCTTGCTGCCCTGGTTTTACCCGAATTTGGGAATTGCTTCTGTAATGGGTTATTTTGGTTGGGAATGCTTTGGAATTGGTTGTTGAGGTCTTCTGATATATTGTAGCCCTGTTTCTTAGCTTTCAGCTGGTTTTGGAATTTCTGGATTTGGACTTGGATAGCCTGATTTATGATGTTTCCGCTAGAATGCGTTCTGTGAATATGTTTTTGTCATTCTGGTATAGTTTCTTGCATTTTTTGACCTTGTTACACTCGAAACTGGGTTGAGTGATCTTCTGTAATATTGTAGCCCTATCTCTTAGTTTCGAAACGGTGTATCTTGCACCTTCATCCGACAATCGTAGCGCCTTTGGTACCATTACCGCAAAATGACGTCAAAACTGTTTTTCTGGTTTTGAGCTTAACTTTCATTTCCGGACTTTTCCCTAGCTTGACTTGTACTAGTACTACTTGGAGCTTGCTGAATGGCTATTGGAGGAACTTGTTGTTGTGTGTGTACCTTTGGGACTGGCTGAAGAAATAATGAAGCCATGATGGCTGGAAAAGTAAGCAAATTTAGGGGAAGTGCTGTCCGAACTTTGAAAGGACTTGATTGCATTGAGTTTGTGATCTAAGACTTGGATTTGAGCAAGGCAATGATGTATGATGGTTGGTTCCTGAGCTGTGGAGGTGAGTGACCCCAAACTATTGTTAAAGCTTCTTATGAAATGTTTCTTGCATTATTTACTCGACTGCATCTCATGCGTGCTTGCATGTGAATTCATGATATGATTTTGGCTTCAATGAGTTCTTGGGAAGTCTTGTGCTGGACACCAACGTTTCCACCTCTGTTTACTTGGAGCAAATGGCTCCGGAGCTCAAAAAGGGGCTCCCTCTTAATGTTAATGTTAATGTTAAATGATCGATTTGAGCGTTGGGTGTTGAAGTACTATGATTTCACTGGCTCACGAGAGCAATAAACGGACATTTGTTTTTTGAATCATGACATCATCGAAAGGATCGAAATGCAATATTGTGAAATATATTTGATTACTGATTTTCCTGGTTACTCGCTGAGCTTCTAGCTCACCCCAAAAATATTTTATTCCCCTCCACAGGGCTCAAGACGAAGGAAGGACTTGTTGTGCTTATTCACGTGAATGGATGGCCTATATTTTGTACTCTTGCATTTGGAATCATTTTATGTATAGTTGGGAATTGTTTCCGCTGCATTTGTGATATGTAATTCTTGGAGAATTTGATGTATATTTGAGATTTATATTATAATCTGTTGAGGAATGTAGTGAACGACTGAGTCCCGGCGAGAGCTGGCAGGCGACCCGCCGAACCCTGGGGTACGCCTTAGGGGGAGGTGGGGCCGTCACAGTTGGTATCAGAGCTTAGGCTTCAGATCTCTGTAGTGTATCCTAGGCTTGAAGTTTAGGATGCCGGACTGTGGGTTTGGTTTGTAATATTAGTGATTCTTGCGGGATATCTCACTTGATTAGTACAAGTGGAATGTCGAGGACGACATTCTTTTAAGGAGGGGAGTTTGTGACGTCTCGAAAAAAAATGAGTTTGAGAACCCGGAAATTTTCTAATTTTTAGGGTTTATTTTTTTAAATCGCTCGCCTTTTCTACATTTTCTTGATTAGAAAATTCCCCTGATAAAGTTTATGAGCAAAGATAGTTTTAAAATGATTTTTCTAGTATCAATTAGTTTTTGAGAAATTAAGAGCTTATACCGGACGTGGGACCTGCTAGTGTGATATAATTTTGGTGACTAAGTGAATTGTGTGCTAAGTGTTATTATTTTACAAGGTGCTAGGAAATGATTAGAGGGTGGTTATATGATGTAACCATTGGAAGCCAAAGGATTAAAGAAAATACTAGAAGGGTCAAGTGTCACAAACCCATTGCAAGTTGGACCTTTGACTAAGACCATGATTTCTTCTTCTTATCTTGACCAAACCTTTTGTTTTCATCATTTCTTCTTCTTGTAAGCATGATGGACGAAATTTTGAGAGAAAGAGAGAGAAAATCCAGCATCTTGCACCTCAATTTCTTCCTCCAATCTTGAGTTCTAACCGATTAAATTGCAAATCACTCCATAAAACTTGCTAGCTAAGGAAGATTGAAGCTATTGGTGGAGTTGTTTTGGAAGAAAAATCCCTAAGCCATCACCTTTCTTGATATTTCAAGGTATCATGTCTAACCATCCTTTCTTTGATCTTGATTTTGTTAAATTAATGACTTGTGATGGCTAATGAGATGTTTTAGTGGAAGATTAGCACTTGAATGCAAAAATTTCCAGATTAGGGTTTTCAATTTCCCCAATTCTGCCTGACACTGTTCATCATAGTTAGAGGCCGAATTGGCCTTAGCACAAAACATGAAAGTTGTAGAGAATGAGGTTTTATAGTTGCCTACAAAATTTCAGCTCAATCCAAGTTCGGTAGCCTGTAAAAGACCAAAATACCCCTGCTGCCCTGTTTCTGTCCGAACCTGGAAATCAGCTTTGGTAATTGATTAGTTTGACTGGGAATACTACTGATTTGGTTGTTGATGTCTTCTTACGAATTCTAGCCTTGTATCTTAGTTTTTAAATGGCTTTGGAATTACCTGATTTGGAGTTGTGTGTGCTGAGTTATGACTGAATGAATCAGGACTGCCACAGTGAGCTTCGAACTAGAAAATCTGGGGTTGTTTTGGTAAATATGACCTAGTTAGGGTGAGAACTAGACTGAGTGGTTTTCATGAAAGTTGTATGGAATGATATTTTAGAGGTGCCTGCAAAATTTCAGGTCAATCAGAGTTGCGTAGCTTGAGAAAAGATGGAATTACCCTTGCTGCCCTGGTTTTACCCGAATTTGGGAATTGCTTCTGTAATGGGTAATTTTGGTTGGGAATGCTTTGGAATTGGTTGTTGAGGTCTTCTGATGTATTGTAGCCCTGTTTCTTAGCTTTCAGCTGGTTTTGGAATTTCTGGATTTGGACTTGGATAGCCTGATTTATGATGTTTCCGCTAGAATGCGTTCTGTGAATATGTTTTTGTCA